TTTGTGTGTGGGGGCTTGTGTGTGTGTGTGTGTGTGTGTGTGTGTGTGTGTGTGTATGATCGAGCAGTAGGCTGCATGGAGTGACCAGGCCGACAGGGGGGTTAGTGAGGGGTGACCAAACAACCGAGCAGCAGGCTGCATGGGGCAACCAGGCTGCCAGGGGGGTTAGTGAGGGGAGACAAAATGACCGAACAGCAGGCTGCAAGGGGCACAGAGAGGAAGGAAGAGGGAGAGAGAGGTAGAAACATCAGTGATGAGAGAGAATCACGCCCCCCCACTGGGGATTGAGCCCACAACCTGGGCATGTGCCCTTGACTGGACTCAAACCTGGGACCCTTCAGTCTGTAGGCCGACAATCTATCCACCGAGCCAAACCAGGTGAGGCTAGGAAGCTGTTTATCTTGCTTCAATCTTAAATGTTAGCTTTGCTGGGTAGAGTAGCCTTGGTTGTAAGTCCTTTCTTTTCATCACTTTGAATATTTTGTGCTAATCCCTTCTGGTCTGAAATGTTTCTGTTGAGAAATCAGGTGACAGTCTTATGGAAACTCCCTTGTAGGTAACTGTCTTTCTCTTGCTGCTTTTAGGACTCTAGTTTTGTCTTAACCTTTTCCATTTTAATTATGATATGTCTTGGTGTGGGTGTCTGTGGCTTCATCTTGGTTGGGACTCTCTGTGCTTCCTGTACTTGCGTGACATTTTCTTTCACCAGGTTAGGGAAGTTTTCAATCTTTATTTCTTCAAATAGGTTCTCAATGCCTTGCTCTCTCCCTTGTCGTTCTGGTACCCCCACGATACAAATGTTATTATGCTTGTTCTTGTCTCAGAGGTTCCTTAAACTATCCTCATTTTTTGTTGTTTTGTTTGAATGTTTTCTGCTACCTTGTCTTTCAAATTGTTGATTTGCTCCTCTGCTTAATCTAACCTGCCATTGATTCCTTCTAGTATATTCTTCATTTTAGATATTATATTCTTCATTTCTGCCTGCTTTAATTTTATGATTTCTACATTCTTTTTTATGTTTGCTGTCTCTTTAAGTTCTCACTGAGTTCATCCATTCTTCCCCTAGGTTCTTTGAGCATCTTTATAACCATTGTTTTGAACTCTTTATCTGGTAGATTGCTTATCTCCATTTCTTTATAGTTTGTTTTTGTTTTGTTTTTTGCCTGGAGATTTCTCCTGTTATTTTACTGGGGCATGTTTCTTTGTCTCCCCTTTGGCTGGTTTTCTATATCAGTGGTTGCCATCCAGTGGTCCACAGACCACTGGTGGTCCGTGAGGTCCGAAAGGTTGGCGACCGCTGTTCCATATTTTATGTTGTTTGTGTGTGTTGGGTAAATCTGCTAGGCCTTGCAGTTGGTATGGTGGCCTTACATAGCAGGTGCCCTGTGGGGCTCAATGGCATCGTCTCCCTGGTACCTGATCTAGGTGCTCCAGAAATGTGCCTTTTATGGAATACGTGGGCCTTCCTGTTGCAGTTGAGTCTTGGATTATTGTTGGCCCATTCATGGGTGGAGTTGACCCTGGGGCTGGCTATGAGGATCAACCCCAACCACAGTGTACCAGCTACTGTGCGTGGGCTGGCCCCACACAGCCGGATTTGCCCCAGCAACATCTTTTATTTGCCAAGATCTCCCTCTGCATGGTCCAGGGTGTTTGTTCTGGGGCCTTTGGGACGGAGGGACTCTGCTACAGGTCAGTGTCAGGGCAGTCTGGCCACCAGGAGAGTCTGCACCAAGGCCAAGCTGGCCACAACTAGCTGACTCTTCTGCAGGCATGAGCTCTGCAGGACAGGGAGTCCAGGGAATGGGTTCGTGCACTCCCCCAGGCTGTATGGAGGGGAGTGTCCACCCAGGAAGATGGCTTCTGTAAGCTGTGTGTACTGGCTCTTGGAGAGGATGCCTGGGTTTCTAATGGGCTCTTTTCTCTCCCTGGCAGACAGAGTCCCAACTGATTTTCATAGCCAGGTTTTATGTGGGCCCCTCTTCCTGGTCTGTACAGGGGAGCTTGACATGGGGTTGCTGACCCTCCCTAGGACTCAGCCCCTCTGGGGAAAAGGCTCTGAGCTGCCCTCAGTGCCCATGAGGCACTCCTCAGAGGGACTTCTACAGCTGAGGTAGCCCTTCGATTCTCAGTGGCCACACGTGTGAGCAGGACCACCCTTTTTGCGTCTCTGCCCTTCCTGCGAGCCTGACATGGTTTCTCATGTAAATTCTTGGTTATGAGACTTCTGTTCAGCTAGTTTTCAGTTGGTTATTCAGGTTTATTGTTCTGTAATTTAATTATAATTCCAGTTTGGACCAGGGAGGATGTGAAGTAGCTTGCATCTACTCTGCCACTATCTTGGATCCCCCAAGAAAATAATTCTGTGACAATTCTCTCTGCATAAAAGGCTGGTGTAAGGAGCTCTTTCAGAACTTGCAAGCCTAGAGCCAGCCCTCCAGCTCTCTGTGAGCGGCTATCCCAGCTTCCTCAGTCCCATTAGGGGCTTTTGACCTCTGCCCAGAGTTGCCTGTAACATCAGAGCACAAAGATTTTGTAGCTTCTACCTGGCAAAAGAGCTTTGTCACAGAGCCGGTGTGCTCGTTCTGAGAAATCACAGTGCCCTTTGTTTTGACTTGCCCTCTCTTTATGTCATTGTACTTTACGGTGGTCTATTATTCTAGTGCCCAGGGAGAAATACACTAACCTGGAAGCTTGCTTGGGTTGTAAACTCAGGCTTGAATTAACATTTATTTAATCAGTTTGGTGTTCATTTAACATCAAAAGAACAAATGAACCTGCATCCACCCTGAGAATGGGTTTTGGGAGAGGCCAGCCCGACTGCCGATAGGTGAAGCATTAGCTGCGGGGAACTGTCACATTTGTCTGTCTGGCCACCCAGCCTGAGTGCTGACGCCTGTGCCCTTGCCTGCAGCTATTGAAGCCATGAAGAACGCCCACCGGGAGGAGATGGAGCGTGAGTTGGAGAAGAGCCAGCGGTCCCAGATCAGCAGCATCAACTCAGACATCGAGGCCCTGCGGCGGCAGTATCTGTAAGTTGGCTTCTTGCCCTCGGGAGGGTGGGGATAGCCCTTCAGGTGGGAATCAGTGCCCTTCTGGTGTGTTTGTGGGAGCCACACGGATACAGGGCCTGAGGTGGCATTGGTGGAGGCCTGGCACTAAAGGCAGCTCAGAGCCTATTCTCCAGGGGGGCTGGGCTAAGTGCCAGTGAGGCTCAGCAAGCCACTGGCTCTTGTGGCCCCCGTAGGTGTCTTGTCACTAAAAAGCAAACACAGAAACTAATTACTAAAGAATAAGGTGTAAAAAGGAGATTGTATAACTACTAGCCACTTTTCAGGACTGATCTCAGGCTGTCCGGGATTTATTCTCTCCATCAGCTGCTGCTGCCTGAGCAGCAACTGGGGAGGAATCTGGTCTAGGGCCTGTGCCTGATGCTTTATGCTGTGCCTGGGGAGGTGGCCATGCTCCTACATTTCAGAGAAGCGTGTGGGCCGGCTTCCTTTGCCTACGCAAGAGACTGGAGGGCCTGCAACAGCGTAGCTGCTCTGATTTTTCCCCTCTTAGAGCTCACGCCGCTTGGCACCTTGAATTGGTTGCTGCGAGAGCCCTGCAGAGCTAGCCTTCGCCAGGATCTTTGTGATGGAAAAGAATCCGGTCCCTGCCTCTTTCAGGCTCCTGCTCAGGGCAGAGAGGGCCCAGGGCAGTCAGACTGGGCTGAGGGGTGGCACCCTGTGGACTGCGGTCATACTCATCTGGGCTAGAGAGGTGACAGGTCCCCAGGGCTGGGCGACTTGCCCTGAGGCTCCTCCTTGTGCCACCAGTGGGAGATGGAGCCCTTCCCAAGGAGTCCACAGTGACGGGAATAACGCTGCCAGGCTTTGGTTTTTATGGGTCAGGAGAGCCTGGTATTGGGTTATTAGGCACAGATTGCCTCAAAAGTTACTGCCGAAAACAAATTACAAGCCTGACTTCTCTCAGTAGTAGGACATGAGTAAATGAGCTTTCTCCTGCCTTCACAAGAGAAGTGTTGTCTGTGGGCTATTGAGTTATTTGAAAGAAGACCAGAGAAGGACACAGAATAGATTTTTATGAACCTGAAGTACTTTTTAAGTTTTCTCTTACTTAGCTGGGTACAAACTTTTTGAGACAACAAAAATGCGTAGGGCGGCTCTCTGTTGCTCAACAGTTTTTCTGTTGTCTCGTCATCCCTCAAGCTTCACAGTGGGGACCCGGACCCTTGTGGGGCCTGGGCCTGGGCCTGGGGGAGGGCAGAGGAGTGAGGGTGCCTCTCCGCAGGGAGGAGCTGCAGTCAGTGCAGCGGGAGCTGGAGGTGCTCTCGGAGCAGTACTCGCAGAAGTGCCTGGAGAACGCCCACCTGGCCCAGGCGCTGGAGGCCGAGCGGCAGGCCCTGCGGCAGTGCCAGCGCGAGAACCAGGAGCTCAATGCCCATAATCAGGTGAGCCCACAGCCAAGGGATCCCAGGTTCGAGCTGGGAACCAGGCCTCTCCAGCGTGTGGGGGGACACTCACTGCAGGCGGGGAGCTGTACCAGCCGCTGCAGGAACTGCCGCTTACATTGGAACTCTGCTCACAGTGTACTGGTGGGGGGGCTGCTGGCTCGCCTCCCGTGGCTCAGGTTCTGAGCGTCTCTGAATTTCTGCTTCGTCGTCGCTGGGCAGGGCCTGGCAGGGTTATTGCACTGTCTGGGTCTCCCATCCCCAAGGCTCAGGCTTGTGTTTAAATGTCACTGCTCACATTTATTTTTGTCAGAGCATTTTCAAAATTTGCCTGCTTCTCAGAAAATTGGGGTACATTTAAAATCCTGGCTAATGGACAGGCTTGAGGTGGATTAAGTGTGACAAAATCTCTGTGAGTTCCAAACTGGGGCTTCATCCTCCTGACTCACCACTCATCTCCCCAGGCCAGCGGTTATCAACCTGTGGGTCGCGAACAATGAAAATACATCCTGCATACCAGATATTTACATGACGATTCACAACAGTAGCAACATTACAGTTATGAAGTAGCAACGAAAATAATTTTATGGTTGGGGGTCACCACAACATGAGGAACTGTATTAAAGGGTCGCGGCATCAGGAAGGTTGAGAACCGCTGCCCCAGGCACTGAGCAGCCATGTGTTGGCCTGGCTCAGGCTCAACACCTCCACAGGCCCATGGCCACCGTGTGTGGGCACTCCGACAGGGCTGGTTCCGCTTAGTCACTGCAGTGTCCTAAGATTGAAAGAAGGTACAGGAAGTGAGCAGGAGGACCTAATCTTGTAGAAACTCAATGGGACCAGCCGTGAAACAGATGAGCACTCCTTACAGTGATACAAGGGGTTCGGGATAACGAAGTCCAGCTGCACGGCTCTGTAAACCACTGCCGAGCCCACACTCACAGCTTTACGGGAGGGGAACTGCAGGCTGTGACACTGCGTGTAGTAACTAGCATGCGGTCATGTGCACAGGCACTGCCCATGCTGCCTCGCGTTGTGAGGAAGAGCCTCTCTTGGTTGTGTTGTGTGACTGCAGCCCCCAGGAATCTGCTGAGCGCCCCTGTTTTGTTGTTGCTGTCCCCCAGGAGCTGAACAACCGCCTGGCTGCGGAGATCGCCCGGTTACGGACACTGCTGACAGGGGACGCTGGTGGGGAGGCTGCTGGCTTGCCTCTCACGCAGGGCAAGGATGCCTATGAGTTAGAGGTACTGCTCAGAGCCAGGCCCCCTCTTTGCCCAGCTCTGTACTGCAGAAGCCCCAAGAGGGGACCAAGGAGTGGCCCATAGCTGACAGAATCATTCCAGGCTGAGTCCTGGAGGCAGCAAGAGGGACAGAACATGGAAAGATCCAAATCACCCAGGACAGCAGGAGAAAACAGTTAGCTTCCAGGCAGCATGGGACCCAGGGGAGGGGGGCGGGGCCCTGGAGAGACCAGGGGGCCTTTAACCCCATCCTCACTCAACTACCCTCCTCCCTCTGTTTCTGCCACACCTCAAACAGTGACCACCTGAAATGAAACATTTAATAACTGTGTGGACACTGTAGCTGCTTGAGACTCTGTAAAACTGTTATTCAGGATCAGGTAGGTTCATCTTAAGCTAGAATGATTGATTTTTATGTATAAGACATCCTTTTATGAAAGCAATTAGATTTCTTCCCATTCAGTTAAAATTTCATCATGAAAATATCTCCCACTAAATGATGTGGAAGAGGCAGAGTGCATTCAACAGGGTTCCAGCAGGACCCCTTCACGGACCTCGCAGGCTTAGTCCCAGGAAACTGCAGTGGCCCCCTGGGCTGAGGAAGAGGGGGCCCATGTCTAGGAGTTGCAGCAATTCTTTTCTTACTATTTCTGTATGTTATCAGTGTTTCAACTTTATTTTCTGGCATTTTCAATTGCAAATTGGTGAGAATGAGAAAAAAATGGTCTACTCCTCAGTGTGTGGAGGGGAGTTCTCTGCTCAACTTTCAGTCTTTGCTCTTTCTTGCTCCTGAATGTCAGTCCCTAATTGCCCTCTCATTCTAGGTTTTATTGCGAGTCAAGGAATCAGAAATACAGTACCTAAAACAGGAGATCAGCTCTCTCAAGGATGAGCTACAAACAGCATTGCGGGTATGGGCGCACCGCCGCAGGGTTGGGTCTGCAGAATGGGCTGGTGGGGGAGGTGTAGGGACACGTGTCTCACAGAGGTCCCTATGCTCAGCAAGTATCTCAGGCTGTTCTGGAGCAGATTTCATTCTCATGAGGAATGTGGTCTGATACTCGAGTTCTCTGAAAAACCAGGCTTCATGCAGGCACCGTCAAAATGAGGTGCCCCAGTCTTGCTGTGTCCTTGTTCTCCCTGCCTTCTTCGTGCTTTGTGGGACGGTGAGACCCGAGAGAGATGTCATCCTGGGAAGTGAGAGTGCGGCCAGCTGCCGTCCCCTCCAGGGCATTCTTGGAATCAGATGAGATGCCAGGATCCCTGAGGGACTCTAAGACAGAGGGGGTTCCAGGCTGACGTCATAGGGTGGTCCTTGGGGGTTAGGTTGCAGCCTGCACCTTGCCTGCACCTACAGCAGCCCCGGCGATCCTGTGCTGTGTTCAGAGTGAGTCTCGGCCCTGCCTATTTTAGTTTGTGTCTAGTTTCTGCCTTTGGAAGACCAGGCAGGACCCACCTGCCAACCTGCCTCCTCCTCTGCCAGTGACATTCCTCAGTCAGTCCCCAGAAACCTTCCAGCCCCAGCGAGACAGACCTCCTGGCCTGGTTGTCACCACCGTTGGTCTGTCCTTTTCTTCTCAAGGACAAGAAGTATGCCAGTGACAAGTACAAGGACATCTACAAGGAGCTCAGCATCGTGCGGGCAAAGGCCGACTGCGACATCAGCAGATTGAAAGAGCAGCTGAAAACAGCCACGGAAGCACTGGGTGACAAGTCCCCCGAGAGCACCCCTGTGGCAGGATATGGTGAGCTCTTCCTGCTCTGGGTTGTGACGCGGTCACTTGGGGGCTTTGTCATAGAGTTACTGGGACTTAAGTCAAAGCAGAGAATTGGTTTTCATTTTTCTGATTTTAGACTTATATTTCCTTGCAACGGGGTGCGGCCAGAGGGGTGCTGGTCCGTGGATGTGGCCGGTGCCTATAGGTGCGCTGGTGGCAGGCATTGTGCTGACTGCTCTGAGGGGCAGCCACGTGGCATTTATTTTTATTGTAATGACATGGTGTGTTTTCCATTTTCCTAACGAATTCAACAGTTTGGTGGAAGAGGCTCCCCCTAATTGCTTGATCCTGGAGTTTTACCATAAAATCTGCAGAAGGCCATGTGAAGAGGAGCCAAGGAGGGTGCTCCCTGCTGAAAAAATGTCCTAGCTCACTAATATCCAAGAAATTTAACTTTTTCCTCTTGTCTACCAAGCATTCATGATAGCGACAGTATTGATGGATGGGTGGAGAGAAGTCGCTTGCATTGCTGCTGGAAGAATAAGGTAGCACTTTCTGGAAGGCAGTGAAGCAATATGTAGCAAAATTTAAAATCAAACTATAGGCTGACTCTGGGTAGGTGAAGAAATGGTAGCAGTGGCTGCTGCTCAGGGGAGCCCCAGGTAGCCAGGAGACAGAGAAGAGGACTTAGAACTAGGGGAGAATGTGTGCATTTGGTGACCTACCAATCTAACTTCTGGAATAAACAAGTGATGGCATGTGCCAGCAAGATGTCTACCACCGTGTGCAGGAGCAGACCCTGACCCCCTGGACAGACCTCTCCTCAGACAGGGCTTTTTCAGCCATGATATCACGACAGTGGGATGCAGTGCAGTTCTTAAAGGAGGTCAGACCAAGGGGCCTCCGGTGAGGATGGTGGCGTAGGTGACTGACTGCGGGGACCCCCACACCCATATCAGACACAGCTGAACTACAGAACCGCCTGCAGTCTAACCGCACAGAAGCCCTGTGAATAGAGAGAGAAGGACGCCGCATTGAGACTGGGAGGACCCACACCCACTGGTGGCGGTTCAGTCGGAGGGATGTCTCGGTTTTGCAGGTGCCCCTGAGGAGTGAGGGGTCCCAGCCCCGCCAGGCTCTCCGGCCCAGGGTTCGGAGCTAGAAAGAGAAGCCTCATAACTTCCAGCCGTGAAAACCAGTGGAGATGGTGGCTGAGTGAGACGGAGGCTGAGAAAGTCCCGAGTATTCTTAAAGGGCCCAAACAGACTGACTCAAGCTCACTCACTCTGAACTCCATTGCTGGGGCAGCAGCTCCAGCGGTGCCAGGACATATGGGAAGGACCTGAATTGTTTGGCTTTGGGGCTTGAGTTGGAGGACAGCTTTGTTCCACACAGAACTGCTGGCCGAGGCCATTGTTCCTTAGCTCGGGCCTCCCTCCACAGAGCCGGCAGTCTTGCACCATGTCTGAGTTTCCTCGATCTGGCGGTTCCCCTCCCCCAGTGATTCCCTGAGACCCTACCCCATCCCATCTGCAAGTCCACCCTAGCTTTTTCCAGTAGCTTTTCCATAGAAACGGCCTGTTTTGGCTCATGATGCAGACTTTACTAAAGAGTCTCAAAAGTTCACCAACACCAAACAGCAGTATCTGGCCTCAGCGTGTCCCATACCTCTTGCTAAGTGGCCCCATGCATGGTACTAGCAACAGCTGGCCTGGCACCTCCAAGCCCAGCACAAGCAGTAGCTCTCTGCACATCACTCTACAGCTCATGCTAAGTGGCCCCAGCAGGGCACAGATGACAGCTGATCTTGACCTGCATGTCCCAGGAGGCCCCAGAGCCAGTGCAGCTGGTAGTCCTCTTAAGACCACACCGGAGCAACACCCTACCATGTCCACAGGCAACACACTCAAGGGGAGGACTCATTAGGCACCAGAACCCTGCTGCAGCAAGTCTCGCTCTGTGGAGTTGGCCCCTGCACAGCAACTCCTCTGCTGTAGTCCCAGCCAGTCCTCACAGCCCAATCAGAACAGCAAAAAGAAAAAGGAATCCAAAAAAATTAGGATAGTGTAAGCAGCCTCTGGGACAATGTCAAGCATACATCACGTCATGGGCGCCAGAGGGGGAACGAGAGCGAGAGCACACAAAATGGAAAACCTGCTGGAAAAAAGGACAGAAAGCTTCCCCTGCCTGGTGAAGGAAACACACTACAGGTCCAGGAGGCACAGAGAGGCCCCAACAAGATGACTCCAGAGGGGCCCACATCAAGACACACCCATCATTAAAATGCCAGTTGTTAAAGACAAAGAGAATCCTAGAAGCAGCAAGAGAATCAGTTACTTTCAAGGGAGCTCCCATACGACTGTCAGCTGATTTCTCAACAGCAACTTTCCAGACCAGAAGGGAGAGGCAAGTAATATTCAAAGTGATGAAAAGCAAGAAGCTACAACCAAAATTACTCTACCCAGGAAAGCTCTCATTTCATTTGGAATTGAGGGACAGATAAAGAGCTTCCTAGGCAAGAAAAAGGTAAAGGAGTTCATCACCACCAAACCAGTGTTACAAGAAATGTTAAAGGGTCTTCTTTAAGAAGAAAAAAAACATAAAAGTGTGAGTAATAAAATGGCAATAAATACATACCTATCATTAATTTAAGTACAACTTGATTAAATCAAAAGACATACAGTGACTGAATGGATAACAAAACAAGATCCTTACATATTCTGTCTACAAGAAACTTCAGATTGAATCACACACATGCAAACTGAAAATAAAGGTATAGAAAAGCTATTTCATGAAAATGGAAACGAAAAAGAAAAAAGCTGTGGTAGCAATACTTATACCAGACATAATAGACTTTAAAACAAAGCCTGTAACAAGAGACAAAGAAGGACCCAACAAGTCCACTTCTGGGTATTTATCTGAAGAAATACAAAACACTAACTCGAAAAGACGTGCATTCAGATGTCTATTGCAGCATTATTTACAGTAGCCACGCCACGGAAGCAGCCTCAGTGTCCATCAGTGGATGAGCAGATAAAGAGGTGGTGCCAGCATACAGTGCAGTATGACTCAGCCATGAAAAAGAATGGAATCTTGCCATCTGCATCAACACAGATGGGCCTAGAGGGTATTATGCTGAATGAAATAAGTCAGACAGAAAGTCAGATTCCATATGATTTCACTTATATGTGGAATCTAAAAAATAAATGAATGAATAAACTTAACAGAAACAGACTCATAGATACAGAGACCATTTTGATGGTTGCCAGTTGGGAGAAGGGGTTTGGGGGTGGGTGAAAAGGGACGGGATTAAGAAGTACAAATTGGTAGTTACAGGATAGTCACAGGATGTAACGTATAGTATAGAGTCAATAATATCATAATTATGCATGGTGACAGATGGGTACTAGATTTATTGAGCTGATCATGTCATAAATTACATAATGTCTGCTGGGTTGAACACCTGAAACATGCAATAATGTACATCAACCAAAGTTAAAAGATAAAAAGATCAGGCAGATCTTTTGTTTTGACATGGACAGAGATCAATAAATATATTTTTAAGAAAAATACACACAAGCCCTGGCCGGTTTGGCTTAGTGGATAGAGCGTCGACCTGCGGAGTGAAAGGTCCCGGATTCGATTCCAATTAGGGGCATGTACCTCGGTTGCAGGCACATCCCCAGTAGGGGGTGTGCAGGAGGCAGCTGATCGATGTTTCTCTCTCATTGATGTTTCTGTCTATCCCTCTCCTCTCCTCTCTGTAAAAAATCAATTAAAAAAAATTTTTAAAAAGAAAAGAAAAATACACACAAGACATGTGGTATGACCCAATGTATATCTGTTTTAAGTAGTCATTTTATTTATTTTTTGTTGTTAATCTTCACCTGAGGATATCTTTTCCTTTTTTTTTTTTTTAGAGAGGGAAGAAGGAAGGAGAAGTGGGGTGGGAAAGAGGGAGAAACATCAATGTGAGAGAGACACATCAATTGGTTGCCTCCTGCATGTAACCCAACAAGGGCCGGGATCGAACCTGCAACCCAGGTACACGCCTTTGACCAGGAATCAAACCTGTGACTCTTCTGAGTGTGGGCTAACCTCTGAGCAACACTGGCCAGGGCTTAAGTCATCATTTTTAAGAACCCTAAAGAATTGCGCACCAGACTGCCAGTGATGGTTGTCCTGGAGGAGTGGCTTATGAGAAGGAGTTGGTCCTGGGATCTCAGAAGAAAGGTGGGATAAATGACTAATGGGGACTGTTGGTCTGCTCCGTGGGTCAGGGGCTCCAGAGTGCGGTGTGCCCAGCCCACCCACATAGCATGGCTTCGCCTGCAGTCAGGCCCACGCTGGGAAAAAAATCTTTTTTAAATCCTCACTCGATATTTTTCCATTTTAGAGAGAGTGGAAGAGAGAGAGAAAAACAAAGAAACACTGATGTGAAAGAAACACATCAACTGGTTGCCTCCTTGCATGGGCCTGGAGCAGGGCCAGGGAGGAGCCTGCAACCGAGGTACGTGCCCTTGACCGGAATCGAACCCAGGACCCTTCAGTTTGCAAGCCAGTGCTCTATCCACTGAGCCAAACCGGCTAGGACTCAGCCTGGGAAATTTTTAAAGTTCTAGTCTGGTTCCAGAGGACTCTAGAAAACAAAGTAATGGGTCTACTTGTTCCTTCAGATATAATGAAATCTAAAAGCAACCCTGACTTCTTGAAAAAGGACAGATCCTCTGTCAGTCGGCAACTCAGAAACATCAGGTCCAAGGTGAGTCTGGGACTCAGCCCGGGTGTGTGGGGCTCAAGATGCTGGGAAGAGGAGCAGGAGTCCGAGCCCATGACTGGCAGCAGCAGGGGTCCCCAGGTCCCAGAATGTGCCTAGCCCCCACGATGGCCCTTGCTGGGCCAGTTCTGGTGGCTTCGGGCTTCAGGGGTCCTTTGTGCAGCAGTGGAACCAACTCCTACCATGACCGTCCAAAGGCCTGGGGTGGAGTAAATCCCACCTTGGACCTCCAGGGCCAGATTCCACCTGTCCCCACCCGTCCCTCCTGGTGCGGTCCCTCCTGTCTGCACACCCTAGTTTAGGGCTGACGCTGCCTGCCTTTGAGAAAGGAAGCCGCCTGCACCCTTCCCTCAGCCTCACAGTGCAAATCCCCAGCATCCATTCCCTCCCCCGTGCGCCTCTCCAGGGCAGGGCGGGCAGGGGGGGAGTTGAGCATGTTGCATTCGGGATTTATTGAGTGTGTCTTACTGTTTGCTCTTTCCTCTGACAGTCCGTAATTGAGCAGGTCTCATGGGATAACTGAAACGAGCCCGCTTCCAGGTCCCTTGTCATGTAGGTAAACCACCTCTCAGCATCCACCCACCCACCGCCTGCTGAGGGCGCTGCCTGCATGCACGGCTCACATCTCCATAGCAAGCTCCTTGTTCCCTGTGCCTTTATTATCCCTGCTGCCGCAGCGAGCGCAGACACAGTCCCAGGGGCGTGTCTCTGACCTGTTCTGGGAGTTCATTGGCACTATAACCTCCTAAGAGAATTGACCCCGGCACTGGGGAGCTCCCCTCCCAGCGTGGCGAGCGGCCCACAGAGCCAATACCGTGGGGGGCTCACACCCAGTCAGCATGCATGCTGAATGCTCTGCACTCCACACTTTCTGGAGAACCCTCTTGCCCAGAAGCCACTGCCACACAGTCTCCCCGTGCTGCAGAGCCCCCTCCGGTCTCAGGTGGAACAGGGACCCAGCTCAGTAGAGCAGGAGGACCACGTGTTCCTGGGGTGCTCTACCAGCACACTTTCTAGCAAAGCAAAAGCTTTCCCCCGGGTCCCGGTAAATACAGTGCCATACGGGGAGGAGGTGGGGAGGCAGGAGACATAGTAGTCTGCTTAGCAATGACCAGGACAGGGGACCCAGCCTGGGCACCCCAGTCTTCACAAGAGGGCAAATCCCTCGCTCTAGTCTGGAGTGCTCAGTGGCTTGGCTGTTGTAACCTCTTACTCCTTGGTGAGGAGGGCACGGGTTGCAGAAAGACCTGGTCGGGGCCGGGTTCACGGGGACACTAGTGTGGCCTCAGGGCCCCCTCCCTGGAGCCAGCGCCTTTGCTGGCTGAGAGGCCCCACCCGGGCTGGGGAAGAGGTTGCTCCTAGGAAGAGCTTTGGAAAACCCACGTCTGTTAGACTCAGTTTGCTTTTGTTTATTCTTCTACAGTCATGAGCCACTTGGGACCAAATGCAGTTTAGGTTTAATTGAAAACTTAGTTTGGGCTTTTTTATTTAAACATGAAAAATATTTTTTAGCAAAAGGAAAACTTGTTCTTGGTTTATGGTTTTCTCACTGAAAATTCTACTCATTTGAGGCTTAACTGCAGCTGCTAGGTTCCCTGCGCCTGTCAATAATGGGCAACAAGAAGCTTCTGCCAGGCCCTTCTGGGGAAGCGTGCTGCGTGTGCCCACCTGGCAGGGTGGGTAGGGTGGGGGGAACCCCTGGGCTCTGGACAAAAGGCCAGAAAATCACTGACAAGGCCTTTGTCCACGAGGCCTTTGCAGCAGGGCACACTGGGAACCTGTCAGGCTTGCCAGGAGCTAGCTGTTCGGGCTCCCAGAGCCCATCTGAGCCCACAGGGGGCTTGGCCATGTTTTCAGAATAGGAAGCAGGCCCTTGTGTGAAGGCAGTCCTGCTACCCAAGAGGAAGGAGGGGCCGTGTGGTGTCCTCGAGGACTCCTGTGGTCCCAGGCACGAGGGCATGCTGCTCCTCTCCCACGGTTCCCGCCGCTGCATCTGCAGACACCCTACCTCCACGGGCCTGACGTCGTCTTGAAACTGCATCTGTCACTGGTGCTTCTGATACGGGATCTGACATGTATGGATTTATATCTTTCATTCATGCTGTTTCTGCATTGTCCCTCACACAGAAGTGTGACATCTCAGCACCATAAAGTCAAATCAAGCTTGTTGCTTAAGAACAGCCAGCTTTTCTGGGATTGCAACTAGAAAGCACCTTCCCCAGGGGGCCTCATGGAGACCGTCTGATGGTGTCAGTGTGAAGTCATGGAAGTATCCCGCGAAGGATTGGCCCTGTGGGAGAATGAGCCCCAAGGGAGCCGGCACCCGAGGGCCTTCCTCTGGGGCTGGAGATGTACCTTTAACATCCGGAGTGTGCACGGTGTGTGGCCTTGGGCCTGCTGTAGCCTCAGTCTGCCCATCATGCTACTGCTCCCTGCCTTCCTGTCCCTAGCACAGCAGGGGCTGTCCCTGGGGTCTGAGGAGCGGCAGTGCACTGCTGCCTCATGGGGAAGTCCCAGCTGGGGCAGAGCTGTGTGGCCAGCACAGGGCCGCCCTGAGACCAGCTCTGCGCACAGCAGCTCCTGACGGGAGAAGAGCCTCGAGAGCAGGAAGCCGGGGTGGGGTGGGATGTGGGTCGTCCTCACCCTCTGCCCTGCTCAGGGGCCACTTCAGGACCCTCACCACTGCTCACGCAGAGGCCCGTCCGGACAAGTGAGTTTCAGAAAGTCAGCAGCAGCACCCTTCACTTAAAGAAAATCACTCATTTACACACACACAGCTCCACAGGGTAGCAGCATGCAGAGCTGTTCTGGGCAAAACTGAGGGGACATCAGGGCCCACCCACTCCCTCGAACTCTGGAGGAGGATGGGTCCCCAGATTCTCACCACACCCCTTTGAAGCTTCAGGCTGGACTCTCCAGGCCCCAGGACCCACCCCGGTTCTGGCTGAAGCTGGTGCGCTCCCTGCACCTGCGCCGGGCCACCTGGGCTCCTGTCTTGTGAGGCCTGGGCTTTGTCACCTCCAGCCAGGGAGCTGGGAAACGCCAGCTCTGGGCCTGATGAGGTTTGCGGCCAGATCAGAGGGCAGCTGAGGAGCCCAGCCCATCTCGCCGGGGCTGGAACTCCATCCCTTTCCTCATCCAGAAATTAAATCTTTGGGGAAAGCCTCCAAGAGTAGTGTCACTCACCTCGGGCCCCACAGGTGGACACTTTCCCAGGGTCCCACAAGAAGGGTATTGGCTTCACATTTGAGAATCTTAGTAGCGATGTTGACATGCTCCCCGATCCCTCGATAGTAAATGCAGCAGGGTTCCCCTCAGGGCGAGCGAGGAGCCACGCTCCACAGTGGTGCTCCAGAGGCTCTGGTCGTCCCGCACGAGGCCTTGGTAGACGGCAGGTTCTCGGTCGGGAGAAGGATGTAGACGGGTGGTTTTCTAGTTCTTGGCACAATCTTTTCCTGGCTGAATCGGTCTGATCGCTGCTTCTCTAAAGAGCCCTAAGCTCAGAATTCATCTTCTATGCTCATGGACTTGTTTTTCTGATTTTTTTCCTTTCTCATCCAGATAACACATCTCACAGGAGACGGGCTCTCCTTAGCATGCCCCACTAATCTCTGAGGACCTCCCCACCCCCCCTTCCTGTGCTGCGGCTGGCACCCAGCACGGGGGCTGAGTTTAACTGTTTTCTCCTGCTCTCCACCCAGAGTCTGAAGGAAGGCCTGACGGTGCAGGAACGCCTGAAGCTCTTTGAATCCAGGGACTTGAAGAAAGATTGACTGTGTCCTGTTCAATTTGAACACACACCCTTCCCAGCTTGTGGCTGCACAACCCGAATGCTACTTTCCGTCTGTACCTTTACTTTTTATTATTATTGTTATTGTTGTCATTATTGACTGTGGGTATGGATGCATGAGAGACAGGTTTATGGGTTGTTCACGCTGTTCCCTGCTGTGTTGATGGACCTTTCTGTTGTCTTTACCCACTCTTGTTTCCATGGTGATCTACAGTAAGCCGAGGGGTGGAGAGGGCCGTCTGCTCCAGCTGGCTCTGTGTTGGAATCCCTTCCCACTGTGGCCCCCTCCCTCCCTCATGTCAGTATTAAGGCCCGGCAGCCGATAGATAAGCTAGCTCTGCCTCGTGAGCTGAGCGCACTGCGCGCGGCCCGCTCTGCCGCACGCTGGTCGCTTGTGGGGGACAGCACTGGGTTGTGGTTTGGCTGGATCGGAGCCCTGACAGCTCGTTGGCCTGCAGGAGCTGGGCAGCCGGGCGCGGTGTGTGGCCTTGGCTCCACCTGTGAACTTGGGAGGAGGCCAGCATTTGGTATCTGTCCCACTGATGCAGCTAGAACCACACCCACGTGTTTGTGGTAAACTTTTCACAACCTTGAAGATGTCGGAACAGCTTTTCCTGGTTTTGTCTGTTTTTTATTAAATCTGGCACAAAACCCCACCCTCTCACTCCTTCCTACG